TACAGTGTATATAAAGCTGTCAATTTATGCAACCGTGTCGCATTAATTCCTGATATGTGCCTCAGTAACATTATACAGCAAATGCCAGAAAGAACTCCACAAGATAATATCTGGTTCCGTAAGAATTAGAAAGACCGACAGCGGCGCCATTTACTGTCACTGTAGTGTAAATACAACTTTAAAATGACATTTAAACATATCTTAGTTCCGTAAAAATATTATAAGCTACGTGAAACATCTACAGCCTATTCAAATCAAGCAACTTGTGGGCATACATAATTTGCAACAACTGAAACATCGCCTACATATTTTCTCAAGGCGTACAACAGAAAGCATAATTTTAAGTTAGCTCCTTGTTATTAGCAATCGTGCTTCACAAAAGTGGATATGACACACACTTATTCAAGTACTACAACTACTTAAAGTATGTACTAAATGCATTCATTACATATGACAAAGAACACGCGAGAAAGTCTGCTTATTAATACGCTCTCGGCTTCGTCTATAGACGCAGAGAAAACAGTCTATGTCCCGTCACCAGCAAACTGCAAGACAAATCCTTTTTATAAAATTGAAAAAATGTGGGTTTGCATGTATGAATGCACACGCCAAGATCGAGAAAATGTACGATGATGATTAAAGAAAATGATATGTTTATTCCTTGAGGGATAAAGCACAGGAATGTCAAAACTCTGGAAATAAGTCCCGAGTTCGAGTCCCGACAAAGGCTGTTCCTGTAGTTCAGAAAATGAAAGCAGTCTAACAGAAGTAAAAAAACTCATACTCAACCAGACCTCACCTCACCTGACCATATTTTACCAAACATAACGTAAGATAACCTTGCCAAGTCTAGTCTAACCTAACCTAACCTAACCCAAACTTATTTGACTTAGCCTAACCTTATCTTATCTGACCAAAAACAACCCAACCGAACTGAACTTAACTTAACTTAACGTAAACTCACCCGCTGTCACCTAAACCAAACAACTAAACGGAGAACGGAGGTAAACCAAATTACTCGAAACTAAACTGAACCAAGGGGAACTGAATTAAAAGAAACTAAATTCAACTGAACGGAACTAAACAGAAAGAAATTGGAGCAAACTGACCGAACCCGAAACAGTCTATCCCAAGATTACGTAACTCACGCCATACGACGCTGGAATCCAGATGTCGAGCGTCGCAGCGCCTGTCGTTGATACAGGATTTCATATAAAGTGAGAGCCATCATTGGCACACATTCATACAGCGTGGGGATGTGTGTAGGTCAAGTTTGCTTATAAACGGATAACGGACTTCGTCCTGAAGCCATGAATGTGTGAATTCTGCGTTAGTGGTCAGTGTTCCAATAACAAGTATGTCCTATCCTCTCGTTCTGTATCAGTTTGGGTGACAACGACTTTAAGAACTGGCCCGTTTAGAATGAGACCCTTCTAAATTTACTTCTCCAATTGAAATTACTTTAAAGTTTCTTATTATCGTTCTCCATTTTTATTTCATAAAATCTTCATTCTACGAGTGGTTAAAACCTGGTGCCTTTCCCACCCTGCTTTAAGACACAAGATCAACATCAACGCAACGACTGAGTAACACAGAAATTTTTAAAATGCACTGATTTATACCAGTCATTTTTTACAAGAAATGAATCAGTCGTGCATAAAAGTGTTGCGTTTTGCAGAACCTATAAACACATAAAGAGGCTTTTAAGTCTCATTATTAGCCACGCGTTTTGCCATAAGACAATTCTAATAGATACTTTCGAAGTACAGAGACCGGGCTTCAGAAATGTATGACGTATTTCTAATTTGTCACAAGGTCAATCTCCCTTTATGGAATGCTGGGGGTGAGATAGACCATTTCATTCTCCCACCTTTTGGGCTCGGACAGGCATCGTCCTCATCGTCCCCAGAGCCGTGGCAGTGCGATGTTTGTGATGGTTCCTGCACTTGCCGGCAGATGGCATCTTGTAAGCTATAAGCCGGTCCCGACGGCCCACCAGCGGAAGGGGGTGGCGGAGAGGTTAAAGTTGACATCACTGCAGCTGGTGCAGCGTTATGGCAACCGCTTCAAGGCATTCTTGTGGCAGTGTAACGTGTCAAACAACTGAAACAAAATGTAGATTTTCTTTAGACACGATGGAGTACTGTGGGCTGCTTGAAATGTTTGGTTATTGAAAGACGAATATTGTATAATCGACTAACAAGTTTAAAGTCGAATCGAGCACAGAAGAGACCGAGCTGAAGCTGTGTTTTGGTAATGGCATTTCCTCAAAATGTAACGGTTATATCGCCAAGACTCAGTTTTCAAAGCCTCGTTCATGGGATACACGTAAAAGAGATAAGTTACATGATAGTCTTCGATACTTTTCATTCAGTATAGTGTTTTTCGGTATTATAAAGCTGAATCAAAATAAATTAAAATAAAGGTGGTCGTTAGTCCAAAAAAGAGTAGGTAGCTTCACCAAACGCCGGGATTAGTGGTTAGCACTATTGCTTCGTATTTGAAAGGTCAAACATCAACCGTTCGACATCATCATCTCTACGAAGATAAAAAAACAAGCCCATGAACAGACACGCAAAATGCTTAATGGTTGTCTCCAAACAGCATACCTACCACATGAAACAGTGGTCCTCAACCTCACGTAGGCTTGGAACCACACTGACCATTTCTTATCGACTCGCGGGCCGTGGATTATAAAACAATGTCAATTGGTTAGAACTTCGTAACAATTAGTTAAGAATGCTCCTCACTGTTTCTCAGTATCTTCTTTAACAAATTTAATGTGTTGTTTTAATGGATTATTCATTTACAAATAAATACCGAACTATTCTCTCATTGCACAAGCTGTTATAACGTTTCAAAAAACGCAATGGGGTCGCGGGTTAAGAGCCCCTGGAGCAATGCATGCAATCAGTCAGTTTGAGAATAGTTTTTCGTCCGTCTGTTAAACGCTACACTGTACCGAAAAGTAAACTAGTTCATCGCTCGGCTTATAAGTTAAGCCACATTGAACCATTTTCATTTTACGCTGTTTCATTTCGTATATCTTCTGTAGGTGTCGCCCGCATATTTACAATCTAATTTAATATTCTGTACGAGGAGGGTTCTTAGAGTATGTAAGTTAGAAATGAACACATTTTGCAGAACATAAGCGGCATATATGACTTCGATATTCAAATATACTCCCACCACCAGCACAAATTAAATCTGTTACTATTAACCAAATAATTTGTTCAATCGCGCACTCTCTTTTAATCGATTCATTCATTTTCGAACCTAAGAAAGAGAAATTTGCCCCAATATTGATATACCGATTTGATATACTTCTGAACAAAAATGTGTTTGAAGAACTACTTTAGAATTTCCCACCATCCTTCATGGTATTTTTAATATAATAATTAATTTAAATCACACGTAATAACTCAATTATATATTTCAATGAAATACAGACATTAACATATGTGGGTTTTCAAATAATTTTCTCTCGCTGAATGTTAAGTAGTAGTACTTCCACCAGAAAGTTGTTAGTTTCTCAGCTGGTCAAAAATTCCAAGCTTTCATTTAACCCAAAGGTTAATTACCTTGTTTACATACCGCACCCTGTCCTGGGCCAGTTTAACTCAGTCCACACCTTTACAAAACACTAAGTTCTGCTTTAATATTAACCTTTCCATCGACGACTTAGAATTCCGAAATGCAAACTACGAAAAATGGAATAAACAGTAAAATTTTACTTTACAACAGAATCCATACACACGCTTCAGTTTCAGCCACATTCTAATATTACGACTCATGCGCAGTTTATAATATGTTCAAAACGAAGGAAGTGTGGAATGTACGCCAGTTAAAGTCAATCCATCGTAACATACTGAAAGCTTACGAAAATGCAGAAAGTAGATTGGCGAATATATAAATAAACATGAATCAATTAGCAGTTCTGTTATTTAAATTACTAAACTACTTCCTTAAGCACAGATTGGAACACGAACCAAACCATCAATCTTATTTGCTGCGGTGCAGAAATTACGTAGGTGTTAATAATATGGCTGTGGCGAAATAAATCAAGTTCCCAGATTTGTTCCACTTTTGCTCTTGGCTTCAAGCATGTTAGACACATGATTCCATTTCGGACCCCCAACTGTTTAGCTGATTTCTAATCCGACGATCGCTACGCCACGGCTTTTAAAACGGATTTGGTGTGTACAATCGAGAAAACAATAGAAAGCCTGATTGCGCTTGAATAATAATAATCTACTCCTAACGATCTTTAGAATATATATGAAGAGGCCGGCTCGCCAAATATGGAGGTGAGAAACTGCTAAGACAGCAAGAATAGCGACAGATAAATAGAAACTAAAAAGAGAAATTAAAAAATGACCATGAATCTTCAATTCGGAATCGCAATACATTGCTTTCTTTTTGTTTCTCGCTGGATGTGGCCACCAAGTGTGTTTCAAGCCTAGAAAAATAAATAAAACAAAAATTTAATTGGATGATTACGTCTCTTAAAAAATTTAAGTATTAATGTGCAGTGCCGTTAAGATAAATGGATTTCTTGAATTCAATTTTACGCTGGTTCCTTGCAGCTGGCTACAGGCAATGCACGGATTGTGTGAAGGCTGATGTAAGTAACAGAGAAAGGTGAAGGGTTACCTGCAAGACTAAATTAGTCATTCAGTCAGAGAACAATGCGCTCACCACGCTCATCACAACTGTGCCCTGACGGGAGGAGCCGAGTTACGACGCCACTCAGGATTTTAAGCAGTGGAGGGAGATGATCGGTGCTGCTCAAATTTGAAACGTTTTTGTGCTCATATTGATTGATACATGTTCAGGGTTCGTTATTAGAAAGGCTGTTTAACAACATGTATCGAAGAATTTTTTTATTTTGACCTTTTATCAAATGTTATTTGGAAAAATTTAAAGTTACTGAAAATAAAAAGAAATCATAACTGTCGATGTCACTTTTGTGACAACACATATCACATCAACATCACTATTTAATTTTAATTTCGGTACGCTGCTTTGTGGTAACTACGTACTGAAAGGAAAACAACGAACTGTTCGCTCGTCCATGCTCTACTACGTACGTGTTAATGCTTAGGCTCTTCCGTAATTAGGCAAATAGCGTAATTTTTATACGATACTGTTTATACTTCAAGTGAAAATGTGGTTTTTAAGTCCTGCTACATAGACTTTCCCATCAATCTATTCCAGTAATATTCTAGCCATTATATCCGCGGCCGTTTCTTAGAGCCATAACACTGAACGTCTTGTCTTTCCTAAGTCATTTCAGTATAATCCCGTGCAAGTCCAGACACAGCTGTGTTCAACCTTCATTTTATAATAGCATAATTATATTATCCTCACTCGCCTCGAGCTACACTACTGAGTTCGTCGGTTCGAATCCCTGCCGAGGATTAAATGGTGAATGTATCTTTGTTTATCTTTTGTTCTGTGAAGACTGATTCGTGCAATGGGTCGATCCCACATCTAAGGATTCCAACAGAATACCTAATCAACTTAATTATAAGCCTTCACGCCGGTAACTAAATCATAGGATTGATAAAGCTATATAGGATATATAGTTAATCGTCATCGCTGAACGTAAGTTTACAGATCTCCAAGTCATGACAACCCACACACTGGCATTATTAGCTATTATCACACAACCAATGTAAATCTGTGGTTCTGAAATAACAAAACAAATAATTAGGTACACAGGTGGGATATAATCTTTCTTAGGCGCCGATCAACAACACTATTAGTGTAATAAGAAACCCTTTGTACAACGAACTCGTTACAGCATTTAAAATACGGCCTTCTAATTCATATTCCACTAGGAACTAACTTTGTAACTGCATTCGAATGCCTGAATAAACACGTCTACACACCTCTTGGAAAACAATAGCTACATCGTTATTTCCTGTGTGTGTGTGGTGATTTTACGAGCCACATACCCCGTTCACGTGAGATCCAAAACACAATTTCAAAACAATTTACAGAATCAAAATGGTGTAGTTATATTGAGTGCGCGTTTATTGAAAATTCAGTATACATTATCTTTAATGACAGAGATATTATGGCTGCACAAAGCCTTTCATTGTATATATTATATTTACTCTGTAGCATATTTCGTTTCCTTTCTTCGAGTCTCATTATAACACTGTTTCGAAATTCAGATATGAGGCTGGCAGGGTAACAGGATACATGGAATGCATTAGATGGATATGAATTTGAATGTGTAGGTAGATGTAAGTTTTGTTATTCAAATTCGTGTATATTCGATGGGGGAGGCGGAGTAAGAGGAGAGCGAGACTTCAATTGTTATTTTGAAGGCTGGCTATGAAAAAAAGTTACCTAGAATACACAATGATATTTAGTAACACGAGTGTTGGGTTAAGCATTACTACCTCGCAAAATGCACGGACAGAACTTTGTTATGTTCACTTAAGTATTCCACATTGTGTGCGCTCCGAAACCAATATGGATCTGTAAGATTTCAGGTTTTCACAGCGGTGAGTATGAAGATTTCTGTCTTCTGAATCGCCCTGATGACGGAGGCAGTATGACCTCTGAAACGTTGGTTAACATCGACCAGACTACACAGCGCAACAACCGAGAAGACAGAAATCTTCAATATGGATCTGATCGAAAGAAATAAACGGGCCAAAACAAAGCGCAAAATTCCGATCTCTTAAATTATTATACCTGAAAACATGAGGAAATCTTCGGCTCAATGGACACTTTTACAGCAACCAACAAGACAGCGCGGAATCGTAGCTCAGAGAACACCAAGACCGAGCGACGGAAGCAGCGCGCATTCAAATTTCCTGCTGTGAGCACTTAGTAGAAAGACTGAGCATTTGTTGTGTTTAAATTACTCATTGTTGCTTCGTTCTTGGTTAATTTTAACAGGATTTTTCGACTCAAACTGCCCTTACTCGGAGACAAGCCATATGCCATGTTATATATTTCCAACAGGAAGCAGGTGATCCCAATGACGAATAGAAAAGGATGTGGAAGGAAGCGGCAAAGTCTTATTTTAGAGTACTGTCGAAGAATAAACTGGAAGAGACCTCCAGTCTGAGAATCAAACACAA